ACTTTTTTTATTAAAATTTTTTATAATAAAATAATTCTCTAATCAAATAACCCTACCATTAGTCAGTTTAAAGTGATATCAACAGCTCGAATTTGATTTTTTTTTTTCCTTGGGGAAATAGTAGGGTAATTATATTTTTATATAATAAAAACATTAAAATAAAAAACCTATAATGACAGCTAATTAGGATACAACACTCTTAAATAAATCCTTTTAATTTAGGTTAAACTCCCATTTTGGTCCCTCAACTATTGTACAAACTCTGAATTTAGTCCCTTAACTAAAAAAATCTTTGATTTGGTCATTACTATTTACCATTTTTATCCCAATTTGGTTCTTCCGTTAAAAATCTCTCCACGTGTCTGTTAACTAACAGAAACCTAATGTACACGTCAAAACATTATGTTCACGTGGAAAGCCAACTAGCAAAAAAAAAAAATAAATAATGATTTGACAATAAAAATTAAAATATTCTTTCTCCTTCATCTTTCCTTTTCTCTTTCCTTTTCCTTTCCTCGCCTTCTTCATCAATCAATTCTTCTTCTTCATCAATCAGTTCTTCATCATCATCATCAAACAACCATCTCATCAAACAACACCCATCAAAACAAAGGATTTTTTTTTTTTTTCGAAGAACCCAATGCTTGGGTTTGACAAACTCGACGTTGGGTTCATTGGGTTCCAAGGAACCCAGAGCCTGGGTTCAAAGGAACCCAGCGCCTAGGTTCATTCGAATACAAAGCCGAGTTCTAAGGAACCTAGAGCTGGGTTCCAAGGAACCTCGAGCCTAGGTTTGATGAACACAGCATTTGGTTCTAAGGAACCCATGCATTGGGTTCGATCAAATCTGGCTCTAGGTTCCAAATCCTAAGGGGAAAGAAAAAGGAAGGAGAAGGAAAAAAGAAAAATAAAGAATTTTTTAAGTTTTTTGTTATATTATTATATTTTTTCATGTCACTATTTTTTGCCATGTTGTCTTTCACATAAGATAATATTTTGTAAATTAATGGTACACATCATGACATTTTTAATGGAAGGACCAAATCGGGGTAAAACTGATAAATAGTAAGGATCAAATCAAAGATTTTTTGAGTTGAGGGACTAAGTCGAGATCCGTATAATAGTTGAGGGACCAAAATGGAGTTTAACATGGAGTTTAACCTTTAATTTATTTGGAGGTTTTAAAAAGACCCATGTGGAGGGATATTTCCGTCATTTCATTCTTTGAAAAGATTACGAATTTCCCTCCTCGGTCCTCAAACAAAAGGAAAATCCAAAAAACAAAAGCAGCAGGGACCCATCTCAACAGCGAAATCTGGATCGTCCATCCTATCCTCATCCTACGGCTACCAGATTCAATCCGCGTGCTTTCTTCCTATTGGTCTACACCCACCTCCCCAACCACTATATAAACTCAAATGACCGCATCTCATACCCACTTGCGCGGATCCAACGTTCTGTAGTTTTCTTCTCTTTTTCTTCCAGTTTTTATTTTCCGGTACGGAATTCTCCATGGCGGGTCGGGGAAAGACTCTTGGATCCGGAGCCTCCAAGAAGGCGACGTCACGGAGCAGCAAGGCCGGCCTGCAGTTTCCGGTTGGTCGTATTGCCCGTTTCCTCAAGGCCGGGAAGTATGCTGAGCGTGTCGGAGCTGGAGCGCCGGTTTACCTCGCCGCTGTCCTTGAATACCTTGCAGCTGAGGTACGATAGTTCTTGATTTTGTACCTAATTTTTATTCGGTAGAGGTATGTAGAACTGAGCACGGAGTTCTAAACTGCCGATTGGATTTTCTTTCTGGTTGAAGTACGGAAGCGGAATCTAGGGTTTCGACGTTACATTTTAGGAAATTTTAAGCTGTCCCCACGTAGTTTCTACGGGATTTGGATCATTTCTCTTTAATTTCGGGCTTTGAATTTTTGTTTATTTTTCTCTCTTTTTTTCTTTTAGGGTTATAAATTTCTATTTTATGCTCCTTATCTGGACAAGATGACTTATTACAGATCTGCGTTAATAATTAGATTAGGGTTTGTGGCTGACACTGTTACTAGTATTCTAAATTTTCAGGGATATCTTGTTCATATAATTTGGGTAAATTTTCTTTATCTAATATCGTTTACTATATATATATATATATTTTTTAAGTTGTCTGTATTTAATCGGAATTTCTTCATAATTATTGAATCCATGAATGAATCTCCAAATGTCATTTTTTTATTTTCCGCGATGAATTCCAAATGGGTTAGTTAATATCTTTGAATTAGGGTTGCCTCGTTTTCAGGAATGGGGGTTTCTTAATTTAGTGTGTTTGTGTGTTATCAGGTTCTTGAGCTAGCTGGGAACGCTGCCAGAGACAACAAGAAGACCAGAATTGTCCCCCGCCACATTCAGCTAGCGGTGAGGAATGATGAAGAGTTGAGCAAGCTCCTTGGAGATGTGACCATTGCTAACGGAGGTGTGATGCCTAACATCCATAACCTTCTTCTTCCCAAGAAGACTGGTACCTCTGGGTCCAAGGGTGGTGGTGATGATGACAGCTAAATATTCAAAGACTTAATTCAAGTGCCATCTCTGCCATTTCGTGACAAATTTAGCATCGTAGTCCTACCTTGTTGTTTGTACTGTGGGTTAGGGATTGAGTCTTTGTCTGCGCAACTGGTTTAGTTAGTATTATTTGTGCTAGTTTAGGGTTTTATTCAGTTAGGTATGTGAATATAATCACCGTGTTCTACTTTGCTTGATAGAAGAGTTGTGACATTTATATCTTCTTTACTTCAATTAATGAAATCAATGCAATATTTCACTGAGTTATGGTCTCCATTAATGACATTGTTCATCTTCTTCTTGCTCATTTGAATGCAAGAAATTAGAGGAGAAGGTTTTGTCTTGATTCTTCTTGAAGTGGAACATAATTTTATGTAAGGTGTTGAAAATAAGAGGTTTGCTGGGTAATGCTCTAATTGTTTGGATTATATGTTTAGACTGTTTCTATGGATGAACATTTGGATAATCTGTTGGAATTGGTGTTGGCCTAGAAGCTAAGGACAAGGTTTAGATGATTTGTGGGCTACATTCTGAAATTTGAACCATCTGGGAAGAGAAGCAGAGCGAGGAAAGTCGATGAGGGGGGAGTCTGTGCCAATACTTTGTGCTCAGGAGTTAGAACTTAGGACTTGGGATACATAGATACGGCTCTGGTTAGTACTTATGGTAGGACTACTAAAATTGGGTGCGTAAATTTGGGCTGCCCAAGGGGTGCAGAATTATGCAATAGGCTTGGACAGAAATTGGGCCAACGAAAATCAACTTTACTGCATCATATTCAAAATAAGCTTGTTTGGTTTGAAAGAGGCAAAAAATTGAAAAGTTATTATAATTAAGGAAGTTTGTTTTATTTGTTTGGATTACATTCAATTGTAAAATAAAAATAATTAGATGGGAGAAGAACTTAAATATTAAGGGCTTAATACCTTGTCTAATGATTTTGAATTGTATGACACTTTTTTTGATAAGTAATGATGATAGGACAAAACTTTAGAATTAATGACATGATTTATATCATATTATTAAATTAATTGATATATATAATATTATGAGTAAAAAAAATTAATTATTAAATAGTGTAGAGTTTACATTTTAAAATTTTAAAGGATTTTTTTAACTTATGTTTTAAGAGCATAAGTTAAGAGTGTGATTATTATTATTTTTTATTAATTAATATAAAAAATAATAATTAATTTTTATTTAAATAATAATATAATTAAAATAGTTTACGTGACACTAATGATAAAATCAATAATAGTTTTTGTATTTTTAATAATAATTAATGTAAAAAAATTATAATAATTATACTTTTAATATATATCCTAAACACACAAGTTAGACAAATTCAATTTTTAATGACGTGATATAAGTCATATTATTCATCTCAGATTTTGATTTCAAATTTTAGTCTCATTTATCATTATTTTTTTAAATAATTAACCAAATTATTTTATTAGAACAATAATTTAATTTAATTGATTAAAATAACCCTACTTCTCTATCTTTTCTCTTAGCTCAAACCAACCGAGTAGACCATTAGTGTCAGAAAGTAAATTTATACCCTCAACTGTTGACTTAGGCATGAAGTTGTTAGATACTGTGTATTAAAAGGTTAGAAAAATGTTTGGAATAGAAAATGGTTATCATCCGTGTGTTATGGAATGCCCAAAAGGGCCAAAACATGATTTGATTGCCGATGTCTACTTTTTATTGTTCCCATAGCTTTCCCTTTTTCAAATTCAAATGTAAAAGAAAACCGGCGTCTTTGACATTTTTTAAGCCCCAAACGCCTCTTATTTTCCTTCTTTCTTAAGAAAACGCGTCATTTATATCTTCATAAAACTCAACAATCTATATATATATA